TGACACTGAAAAGTTATGTCGTGTTCCTTTCTGTAACAGATCCTGACACTGAATTGCAAGCAAAATGGAAGCCTTTAAAGTTCAAAGTCCAAATGTTCATTATACCACAGACTACATAGAGAGCAAGTATATATATGAAACAACCAGGGTTGACTGTAACTCAAAGGGTTCATATGTTGTTCAACCTGTGGAGACGCAGTACACATTTCGGACTGAGAGGCGAGTACCAAAGGTTGGATGTATGTTGGTCGGCTGGGGAGGCAACAATGGATGCACCATAACAGCAGCTGTGCTGGCAAACAAGCTGGGTTTATCATGGGACACAAAACTTGGAACTAAGGTTTGTTGCACATTTTATTTTATTTAAGAAATAGAAAACACCTACTGTGTTTCTATTGAGTTATTGAGTTATAGAAACACAAGTGGAAGTTTGGGAGAACAAGAAATGCTGGGAACACAGGCCGACAGGTGAATGTTTCAACAGCTTTTTTGAGTTCTTCCAAACTTCCATGAGTGTTTCCAAAACTCAATAGAAACATGGAGAACATGTTTTCTATTTCTTTTAGAAAATTCTGCACCAAAAAAAAAAGAAAAAAAAGAAAACAACTTAATATTTACTTTGGTCATCAAAATGTAAATTTTTTTTGCTCAGGCCATCATTACACCAACAACTTGTGCTAGTTCTGTGTTTCTATCTAGTTATGGGAACACTATTTTAAACCATTCAGCATCCATTCAGCATTTTTCCTTAAGCTATTTTCTAATGCAGTATATTATCTTTTTCAAGGCATATAGTCTATACTTGACGTGGATTTTTCTTTTGTCCTCAGGAAAATTCAATGTTGAAGTTGCAAATGTTTTATAATTACTTATATTGGAAGTGTTATTATTTTCTTGGCACAGAAAGCAAATTATGTCGGTTCTCTGACCCAGTCCTCGACAGTATGCTTGGGTACAGGACCTGATGGAGATGTGTTCATACCCCTGAAGGATCTCCTACCGATGGTCCACCCTAATGATATTGTTTTTGATGGTAAGTAGTGACGATTAGACAGTTTTGAGGGGTTTCATTAATGGCTGGCACCAGGCAAATTGACCAGCTGTGAGGATGATTTTGCCTGCCTAGTTTGACCATCTAGGGAAAGTTTTTGTTATGAAGGAGTTTAGTTTGGAAAGGTTTGCCTACCTGTGAAAACCAGTTGTCATCCTGCTGAAAATGTTAATGAAACCCCTAAGTTCTGTTAGTCAGAATGTTGTTTCGTATCACCTATGTGCCATGTTGTATCCCTACTAAAGTGTATTGCATTACCATAGTATGTGCAATGTAGTCCGGGACCGATTTAAGATGGCGGATGAACGGCTGATATAGGGTGAAGGTTTTCATTCCAGCAATCAGTTCATATGGCATCCACTGTGAAGAAGAAGAAGTACAACAGTTGACTTAAAATAAGTAACAAAACAGTCCGGAAGAGGAAATGTTGAACTGATTTTGAAATTGTTTCCCCATTTTGGAGAACACCACATCGCTTATAAACCTAAGCTTACTAGCCAAGATCCATACCACTGAGTACATGTAAGCTTATTATATACAGTGTTCTTTTCATTTTGTGCTATTTTCGTTTTCTTTTATTTGTGTCCAAATCAAGCTTGAAAGTTTGTCACAAAAATTTTCCATTACCCATCGTTTCCCACAATCACTGGGCATGGAACTGAGAAACTGTTACCAAAGAAATTGAAATCCTAGGGCTTGAAGATTATTAAATCTCAAAGTTTGAATTAATACCCAACTAGACTAGTTCACTTTTTAAACCTCCTTGCTTAGAAATATACATCATGGTCTAGACTGAATCTGTTCAATAATTTGCAGGGCACTACATAATATGATTATTAATGCATTCTTTTCAGGGTGGGATATCTCCTCCCTCAATTTAGCAGATGCCACAGAGAGAGCTCAGGTGTTGGATTATGGGTTACAACGGCAACTCAGACCTCACCTAGAAAAACTAAAACCACGCCCATCTATCTACTGCCCAGATTTTATCGCAGCAAATCAGGTTGATCGTGCTGACAATGTATTGTCCGGGACCAAGCAAGAGATGATGGAACAAATACGGATGGACATTCGTGATTTTAAGTCCAAGAACAATCTAGATAAGGTTTGTTTTCCTTAAGGGCAAACCTGATATTTGGTTGACTTTGCACCCTGCTAGGGTATGGAGAGTTTCTGCCATGATAAATCTAAATCTGCTGTAATATAGCAGTCCAGGGTCAAGCCTTGGCTGGGCTCATCATTTCCCCTTGGGCAAGACACTTGAATCTTACATTGTGCTGCTCCACTTTAGAGTATTAATGGGTATTGATTAGGGAAATCTGGCTATATGCCATGGGTTTACCAACAGCATTAAATGCTTCCAATCTGGTAGAATCCAACCCAGGCGAAGATTTAATGCTCTTAGTTGCGTTGCTTTCTGCTAAAGAAATGATCATATGTCCTGGTAGTGTGGGCCTCTGAGCCAAGTGCAACCTTGAGATTACATAATTTGCATAGACAAATTATCAGATGACTTTGTCTTTAGGTGCACATTAGTAATTGAAGGGGTGAGTGCAAAACCATGCTAAGTGACGATTTGGGTGAAAAAAAAATTTTCGCGAGGGGGCTTGAATTTTTGCATGTGGTCTTCAATGTAATAGAAAAACGCGGCCCTGTATTTTTGTCGCTGGTTTTTGCTTCGTTTTCGAGTTATAACGTAT